TACCTGTGCCGATCAAGAAAGGCTTCTTTGTCAACGCGGCACGTCCAGACTGCCCCGATCTGCTGACAAAAAGCTGATCGGCAGAGGGGGGCAGCCATTTAAATTTAAATGAAGCCACGATTATTTTAATCGCGGCTTCATTTCCCTCTGCCGATCTGTCTAATCTACATGCCTCCGTCGACGGAGGCATGTAGTTTAGATGTACCCCCAGAGTGGAGCACCCACGGGGACCACTCGAAGGAGAAGAAAGAGTTACTCACCTTGGTGCAGTAACGGTGCTTCTTCGAGATGGGTCCCCGTGGGTGCTCCACTACCCTCCCTCATTCCCCTGCTTTGGAGACTTGTACTCTAGCAGGTAGAGAAGGAACGGAAGAGCCATGTCGTGCAGGCATCCAACAATTCCAACGGCACTAGAGGGTGCTACGGCGCCTGCGCAGCACGGCAGAAACTGCTAGAAAAAGTCTCCGGTCGCCGGCGCGAGGATGCACCAGCACCCAGAGTGGAGCACCCACGGGGACCTATCCCGGAGAAGCACCGTTACTGCACCAAGGTGAGTAACTCTTTCTTCACTTCCACGATTCGACGATCCCTCCCTGGACCTTTTCCTTCAACAGGGAGGATGGATGAGAACACAACTTGCGCCTCAAACTCCTTGATCCTTCTTCCCGGTGCTATGTCATTTGCAGTGACCCACTCAAGATCATTCCTGGCCGTATCGTTAGTTCCCACATGGAGAAGTAGGAAGGGGCAGAGATCTGAAGGTTTGATCAGTTTGGGAAGTCTCTTGATCACATCCTGAATTCTAGCTCCTGGTAAGCAGCACACTTCTCGAGATTCCAGGTCTGAATGGCAGATGGATGACTCCGACTACCCCCACCCTTCTCTTGAGAATGGTGGTCACGGAGCACCCATCCCTTCATCTTCCTTGATGGAATGCAGGGTTGATACTTGGGCCTCTAGTCCTTTAATTTTCTCTTCCAATATGGAGACCAACATGAACTTCGTACAGATGAAATCACTTCTGTCTTCAGGGAGGAAGACAGGAGTGGAACATGCTGTGCAGGTCACACCAGCTGATCTTTCACTCTCCATCCTGTCTCCTTCTGAGAGACTCCTCAGATGTTGTTTTTATTGCCCCTGGAAGCCTGAAGAGGAGAAGTTAGAGAGAAAAAAGAAGAGACCAAAAAAAAAGAAAAACACCAACCACTTTGGGGCTGCCCCCACTGTGAACTCCCAGGCAAACCCCCCTGTTTGCTGCTCACTAAGGGTTCAGACTAGGGATGAAAATGCAGATGAACAAAGTAGCTAATGAAGCCGGGATTTAAATATCCCGCGCTCCATTAGCATGATCTCGCTGGTGAGCTAGTTTTAATCACAGCTGATTCGAACCAGGAAGTGCGTGCCGGGACGCATTAATGTGAACCAAAGCCCTTGGTTCGAACTAACGTTACTCCTCAATGAGCAATGTTTTGTTAGTCTATAAAGTGCTACCAGACCATTTGCTTGCTGGGTTTTTTTCTGTAACAGACTAACTCGGCTACCCCCTGAAGCTCCATTTAGAAGGAGTTCTTGATCATTTAGACAAGCGGACAAACAAACTCTAAAATGCAAAGTAGATTAGATACAAGGCTGCTGATAGCTAATTGCTAAATTATTTGCCAGAAAACTGACATTTTCTGGTACCTAAGGGTACGTTTAGAATACAGGCTTTTGTTGACAGAAGTTTCGTCGACAGATACTGTCGACAAAGCTTCTGTCAACAAAGAGCGTCTAGACTACATCCAGTTCTGTCGACAAAGCAAGCTGCTTTGTCGACATGGCAGTGTAGACACAAAGGACAGTTTAGATGCAATAACGTCTTCTGTCAACAGAACTCTGTCGACAAAAGGCGTTATTCCTTTTAAAATGAGGTTTACCAGCGTCAACAAAACTGCTGAGTTCTGTCAATGTTATGTCGACAGAACTCAGCAGTAGTGTAGACGCAGGTTTAGTTTTGTCGACAAAACCCTGTATTCTAGACACACCCTAAGTAGCCCCATCATGGTTCAAGTTGTCCCCTAACAAAATTGGAAATGGTGCATTGCCACTTGCACTACTCCTCTTCCCAGGGCGCAGAGCGGAGCCCCACCTGCCAAGGGCCCTGTGACTCATTAGCCCAGCACTAAGGCCCCAGGAGACTAGCTCTTGCCAGGGAGTATTTCCAGTTTCAGCTGAGACCCCCTGGGCATGAGCCGGCATCTTCTCTGTGAGTGTCCCCCCTCCCAGTGCTCCCCAGGCCCAGCCCGATAAGAGACCTGCTGGCTGACCCTGCGGGGCCTTGGGCCGGGTTGCTGCTAACGGGCTGCGCTTCTCTCCCTGCAGACTGAGAGCGACGGCTGCCTTTCCTGGGAGGTGGGGACGGCTCCCTTCCACCTGACCCGCTCTGACTACCAGATGAACCTGGAGGCCATGGCCTCTCTCGTGGAGGAGGGGACAGGTGAGCCTGAACCCAAGAAGATTTGTGCCCAGGCACCCTGAGCAGGGAGCCCTTAAAAGGGGGGGGGGGGTCACTGGCGCGATGGGCTCGGGGCAGCGTTTGTGGTGAGGGCTGGGTTCCAGTTCAGCCCCTCACAGGGCTGCAGCCCTCATGTGAGCTCAGATCTGGGCCCAGCCCTGAACTCCCCACAGCTTGGGGGGCTCAGAGCTGGGTTCTGGGGGCCCGTCTTTAACACTGGCTGATACAATGAGCTTCTCCCCAGCCCTGCCCCAGCCGGGGTCTGGACAGTTTCCCTGCCAAGGCACAGCAGGGCACAGCCCCTTCCCCGGACGTGTCCAGCCCCAGCTATTGCCAGTGACGGGCCCCTGAGCTGGGCCCATGCTTGGGTCTGGCAGCACAGGAGGTGGGATGCAGGGCTCCTGTGCCCTGTGACCAGACACACACAGGCAGGGGACTCTCTCCGGGGGGGGAGGGAGCATCTCCTGGGTCAACGCTCTCTGGCCTCTGGATGGACCAGTTGCTCCAGCTGCTCAGGGGCAGACATGGGCCTGGCTTCCTGGAAAATCCATCCCTGCCTCATTTAACCCCCACCCCTAATTCTCCCCCAATGGCCCCTGCAGCCCTCGGCTAGCGGGGTAGAAATGGCTGCACAGATCGGTATGGAGAGAAATCCGGGATTCAGCCTGAATTGGGCCCGTCTCCCATCGGCCTCCCTCTCCTGCTAGGGGTGGTGATCAATGCGACCAGGAGCTGCCTCATCAACATCGTGTCTGAAATCGCCACGGTGACCTTTGAGGAAGCTGACGCTGCCTACAGGGCTGGGATCCCCTACACTGGCAAGGTAATGGGATCCCTGGCAACCCACGTGCTCACCCCAGCGCCCTGCTGTTCCAGTCCTGCCCCACACCCACCCCAGCTCTCCCCAATCCCAACCTCCAGCGGCCCCGGCTGTACTGTTCCTGCCACACACCCACCCTAGCTCCCCACAGCCCCATCTCCATTCCTCCCCGCTGTTCCAGTCCTGCCCCACCCCAGCTCTCCCTGGTCCTGACCCCACTGCCTGGTACTGTCCCCAGAGTTTCGTGTCTCTCCCTTTATCTCCTGGCTCAGATGCTCCTGAAGGCAGCAGACGGCTCCGCACTGAAGAATGAGACTCTGCGGCTGTTTGTTAGCTCTGGAGACATTAGTGAGAACCAGACCTTCCTGACGGATGAGTCTGGCAGAGCCTCCTTCACGCTGGACACCTCCGGCTGGACTGGGACAGTCGCCCTGCGGGTAAACAATGGGCCTCTGAGCCCAGTGGGGCTCCTGTCCTTCAGGCTCTGTTGTTGTTCTGTGGCTCATAGTATTGACTACAGGCGTGCCTAACGAGAGCCAGGTTTGGGCCCTGAGGTGCTAGGTGCTGCACACGCCAAGAGCAGCAAACCACCCTGCCCAGAGAGCCTGCAGGCTGAAGAGCCAAGACAGAGGTGGGTGGGGACGGGGCAGGACCCAGCAGCAAAGCCATCAGAGGGGTGGTGCAAAAGGCATCCTAGTGCTGCCACTTCTCTTCTCAGGACCATGTGGGGTGCGGTTTAGTTAGGAAGGTCGCCCCCTTCGGGCTGCTCTGGGCACCCGCACCCACCAAAGATCCCCAGCTCGGGGCCCTACATCTCAGGGCTCTGCGGGTAAACAATGGGCCTCTGAGCCCAGTGGGGATCCTGCCCTGCAGCATCTGTTATTGCTTCTGTGGTGCATGGCATTTATTATGGGAGTGCCTAAGGAGAGCCAGGATTGGGCCCTGAGGTGCTAGGTGCTGCACACACCCAGAGTATAAACCATCCCCACCCAGAGAGCCTGCAGGCTGAAGAGCCAGGGCAGAGGTGGGTGGGGAAGAGGCAGGACCCAGCATCAAAGCCATCAGAGGGGTGGTGCAAACAGCATCCTAGTGCTGCCACTTCTCTTCTCAGGACCATGTGGGGTGCGGTTTAGTTAGGAAGGTCGCCCCCTTCGGGCTGCTCTGGGCACCCGCACCCACCAAAGATCCCCCAGCTTGGGGCCCTACAGCTCAGGGCTGCCCCATTGGAAGCACTGGGTTCTCTAGGCTCCTGTTACATATGCAGGGCACTGAGATCAACCAGCAGAATCAGAGCCAGCCCTGCCCTGCATTATACCTGTCCTGTGCTGGCACTCAGCACCCAGCACGCCCCTTCGCTCTCGGTCCCCAGGGGAACTTCAAGCAGGCGGGTCCCAGTGAGGAGCATGACGGAGTCTCTCCCTGTTACCCGGATGCCCATCACCGTGTGGAGCCCTTCTACTCCCGGAGCCGGAGTTTCCTGAAGATCCGCAGGCTGGGCGGGGAGCTGCCCTGCAACCAGGTGCAGTGGCTCCACGTGGACTATGTCCTGGCGAGGGAGGCCCTAGGGCGAGGGTCCAAGAGCCTGGATTTCATCTTCCTGGTGAGGCTAAAGTGTGTGTGTCTGTCTGTGTGTGTGCGTTCTGGGAGATGTGAGCATGTGTCACATTATTGGATTTTAACAGGAAAATGCAGATCATTGTTGCATCCACTGGTGTGTGTTTGCCCCAAACGTAGTCCAAAGGGGGCCAAGTGAGGTGTCTAATGAAAGCCAATGCCATGCGGATTCTGTTTGTGCTGCTCATGAATACAAGTGATTTTTATATGTAAAGTTATGAATACGGGCTCTGTTCTTGTAGTTTACATGTTTTCTGTCTGGGAGACAGCAGCAGGTGTCAACCATCTATTGGGAGGGGTGGTTCCCCAGTGACTAGCTCTGCTGCATGGACATTGGCTCTCAAGTGTTACACCTGTGGAATTCAGTGGTGACCCCACAGACCTGCAGGTTCCCCATGGCCATTGGCCTAAAGGACATGGGCAGGTTAGTTGATCATGTGATCAGCTCCATTTTGGGAGGCACCATCACTCAGGAGAACGATGATTTCCCTCTGCAAGGGCAAGAGTATAAAAGGATCCTGGGGATTCCTCCATCTTGGTCTTCACTCCTGCCCTCCTCTCCAGAAGCACCTTGGCTAAGGACTGAGAGCCTGGAAGGATTCGTTGACCCATCTATGAAAGACTGGCCTAGACATTCTATGGCATCGAGAGTCCTTGGCACTTTGCACTCAATTCACTGTGCCCTGAGTGCGCTCAATTCACCCGCCTCACTCCCCAGCCATCTCTCTCCCTCAGGAAGGCTGACACGGGACGACATGGCCGCTTTTCATCACAGCATTCTTCTCCTACCCAAAGGCATCCTCCCTGGGAGCTTTACTCCGCAAGAACACCACATGGTCTGCCACCACCACACCGGTATGGCTATGATTGGCCATGCCCACCACCTCCAGACCCTGGCCAACGGGTCCCTTGGGACACCTGGTCCTCTCACAGGAGCCAGCACACCACACAAGAGACCGCCATGTTCCCCGCATCTTACACATCAGGACATGGCACCAAACTTCCTAGAGCATCCTCAGTCTGGCGAGGAAAACGTGCTTTCTAAAGGGGCAGGACAGGAGAAGACTTCATGCACTTCACCCCACCCCCAGACCCTGATTGGCCTGGAGGTGGGGGGAGAGCAAAGTCTCTCACTCCTTGCCCTCCAGTGTGCGAAGCTTAGAGTCAACTGCCAGGGTTCACGCTAACTGCTGTGCACTTCACCGGCCCTAAGCCCTGGCTGGCCTGGGGGCGAGGGAGTAGCAGAAACTCCATGGGCTGGATCAACCTGCTTGGGGGGCCGGATTTGGCCTGTGGAGGCCCTTTTGCCCACCCCCGAATAAGAGGGCTGACAGGAAATACTTTATCCCGGCCAAGGGGATGGATTTTTTATTCTCCCATCCGCTGCCTAATTCCCTGGTCATGGACTCAGTCTGGCACAAGGCAAAACATCCCAACCTCAGATCCACTCCTCAGAACAAAGGTCACAAAAGACTAGACATCCTGGGTAGAAAGGTTTATTCACTGGTGACTTTACAGCTAAGGGTTGCTAATTACTCAGCAATGCTCGCCGACTATGATTAGAGCAACTATCCAACGCTCCAGGAGCTCTCAAAGTTCCTACCTGAGCAGAAGTGATCCAAATTGCAGTGTCATTCAAGGGGACCATTCTATTGCCCATATCACCCTACAATCAGCCATGGATGTAGTGGATACCATGGCCTGCACTACCACAATGGCCATCGTGATACACGGAGAGCTTCATGGCTCCAAGCATTGGGAATCCTGAGGAAGCTGCAACAGAAAGTCAAGGACCTCCCCTTGAACAAAATCAACCTGTTTGCAGGCAAGATGAATGAAGTCTTGCATCCTACGAAGGATTCCTGGACGACTACACGTGACCAAGAGAGCCGTACAGACAGATGACAAGGTCTGACTTTAGAGAGAAGCATGGACAACAGAGGCACAAACCTCAGTGCCAGCAACAGTCTTCCATGAGCCAACCGTCCACATCCAAGCAGCAAATTTGAAGGCTTGGTTGAGGGCCAGAGAGAAATCCCTGCTGCTGCGGTGACATTGCCATTCAACCTCCACTTCACCCATCGGTTACGGATCTTTCTATATCAATGGACAGAAATAAGATCAGACCTCTGGGTCCTAGAGATCATCAAAGACAACTACTCCGTCCCCTTCATCTCTATTCCCCCTACCCATTTCCCCTCCCTGTACAGCATCAGGAACCCCTCCTGTAGGCTGTGTCTACACAGCAAAGTTATATCACAAATAACCATGTTTCAAAATAATTTCAAAATAATGGACAGCTTATTCCGACTTCTGTAAACCTCATTCTACGAAGAATAATGCCTATTTCAGAATAGGGGCTGTGCAGATGCTCCACTTCTGCTATTTAAAAATAGCTCCTCACCTGGGCCATTCTAAGTTATTCCTCCTGAGGCTCTAAGTCGAGGTATCATGTCCACATTAGGATTAATTTTGAGACTTCCCTGCAGTGTAGATGTGCAATTTTGAAATAAGCTATTTAGGAATAACTATTCTGGAATCGCTTATTCCAAAATAAGTGTGCAGTGTAGACATAACCATGAGGTCCTGTTCCAACCAGAAGTACAACATCTCTTGTAAATAGGAGTGGTAGAACACAGTTCCACTTGCCTTCAAGGGGAGAGGCTTCTACTCCAACTATTTCTTCACACAGAAGAAAACGGGCAGATGGAGGCCCATTTTAGACTTTAGGAAACTCAACGAACATGTGTCATACAAGAGGTTCTAAATGGTAACATTGGCAACAATCTTATCTGCATTGGATCATGGGGATTGGCTCTCGACCCTCGACCTCCAGTATGCTTATTTCCACATAACGATCCATCCAGCACCCAGACGTTTTTATGCTTTCTAGTAGACATGAAACACTATCAACATTGAGTCCTCTCATTCAGCCTCTGGACAGCACAGAGGGTTTTCTCGAAGACTATGGCTGTTGTGACTGTACACCTCCATCGTTTGGGAGTAAAAATATTTCCTTACCTATGTGACTGCCTCATAAAGGGCACATTGTTCCAAGAGACCAAGGACATGGTCAGCAAAACTACTTCACTCCTACTCAGCCTTGGATTCCATATCAAATACCAGAAATCCACACTCCAAGCAACCCAAACTCTTGTGTTTCTAGGAGTTTGTCTAGATTCAAGAATAGCCACAGCAATGTTACCCAAACACAGATTCGATGTTCTCATAGTCCTCGTGGCATGCATAACGCTGACCACAATAGTACACAAATGCCTTACAATCCTGGGCCACATGGTAGCCACCACATATGTGGTGTGACTAGCCAGGCTACATACAAGATGTTTACAAGCATGGCTCACCACAGTCTAGACCTCCTCCAGGGATTCTCTACACAAGATTGGCACTATACTGCAACACGTCCTAAACTCATTACATTGGTGGATACAACTGCAGAACATGCTGCGTGGAATCCCCTTCCAGAAACTTGCTCCCACAGTTACTATTGCAACAGACGCTTCTCTCATGGGATGGAGGGCTCGTTTGGGGTATGTCTAGACTACATGCCTCCGTCAAAGGAGCCATGTAGATTTGTTTACTTGGCATAGGGAAATGAAGCGTTGATTTAAATAATCGCCTCTTCGTTTAAATTAAAATGGCTGACGTGCTGTGCCAATCAGCTGTTTGTCGGCTCAGTGCGGTAGTCTGAACGCTCCGCGGTTGACATCAAAGGCATTTGTCGACCTCCCCAGTAAACCTCATCCCACAGAGCATACCGGGAAGGCCGACAAATGCCTTTGATGTCGACCGTGGAGTGTTCAGACTAGCGCGCTGAGCCGACAAACAGCTGATTGGCACAGCACGTCAGCCATTTTAATTTAAACGAAGAGGCGATTATTTAAATCACTGCTTCATTTCCCTGTGCTGGGTAGCCTAATCTACATGCCTCTGTCACCAGAGGCATGTAGTCTAAACACACCCTTGGAGCCCACATGGTACAAGGGAAATGGTCTTATCATGAACAAGCACTCCACATCAATTTTCTTGAGCTCAGGGCAGTGCGATATGCATGCTGCCACTTTGTGCTGTTCATGGCCTGCAAGACCATCAGCACCCTGATAGACAATACTGCATGCAAGTACTGCATCAATCAGCAGGGCAGGATCCAATCTACCTCCCTCTGTACAGAGGCCTTGAAGCTATGAAACTGGTTCATTACACACCACATAAACGTCACTGCCACTTACCTTCCCAGGATGTGTAATCTGAGGGCAGACAACCTCAGCTAGCTCTTTTCAGACCAACGTGAGCGGGAGCTCAATACCTGAGCCCTCCGAGACATCTTTCACAATGGGGTCAGCCCGGGATAGACCTGTTCACAACCAAGTCCAACTGCAAATGCCACTTATCCTGTTCCAGAGTAGCCGTGGGCAGATGGTTTTCTCCCAAAGTGGGATGTGCCCCTCCTATACACATTCCCACCACTGATCCACTGAGTGACTATGAAAATCAGACCAAGTGGCCTTTTGTGACCTGCTTGCTGGGAAGGCAGTATGGTTGGGACAAGAATGTTCCTATGTTGATTGTGGAAGTGGACAGGTGTGTCTCAGGTTCAGAGGAAGGACTGTGTGGTGGAGTGTGCAGAGCCGGACAGCTGTGTGGTCTGTCCCTCTAGAATGCAGGAGCTGGCAGGTAAACTCCCATCTCTAAACACTGTGAACGCTTGCAGTCTCTAGGGGATTTACCATCTGATTCCATGTGGAAGCAGAGGTTGGTATTGGATGGACAAAAAACTGTAAGTCTAACATGCCAGTGAGAATGGACCCTGTCTCTTTGAGACAGAGACCAGCCTTGGAATTGGTAGCAGTTAAGAATCTGGAAGCAGAGGAAAAGCTTAGTGTCTGTGATGATACTTGTTACCTGACTGGGAGGAAGAAAAATCCGTGACCATCGTGAGCAGAGAAGGCACACCCAGACAGTGTTGAACAAGGGAGATCAGGATGTGAGCCCACAGGGCAAGGGGGAAGGGAAAAACTTGCTTTTGCAAAGGAAAGCTGCAGATTAACCCTGAAATGCCAGACCTCCAATAGTATTGAGCCAAAGTTGTGGCATGACAAATAGAACTGGAAAAGTCCAACTGCCAGGGTGCTCTGTGTGGGGCTGGCTGCCTTTGAAGTGTCTTTGGGAAACTTCAGTTGGTCCAGAATGCGGCTGCTCGAGTTCTAACTAAGGGTATGTCTACACTACCCCGCTAGTTCGAACTAGGGGGGTAATGTATGCATACCGCACTTGCTAATGAAGCCCGGGATTTGAATTTCCCGGGCTTCATTAGCATAAAGCCGGCTCCGCCATTTTTAAAAGCCGGCTAGTGCGAACCCCGTGCCGCGCGGCTACACGCGGCACGGGCTAGATAGTTCAGGTTAGGCTTCCTAATCCGAACTATCTGTACACCTCGTTCCATGAGGCGTACAGATAGTTCGGATTAGGAAGCCTAATCCGAACTATCT